GTAAATCATCTTCTTCGGCTGTCCACATTTGTGCTGGTCTTCTTTGTTTTTTTCTTGTATTTTCTCTTGTTTTAGAACTATTATTCATTTCATAACACATTTTGTTCTTGAGTTCTATCTAACCCCCACATTAAATAGTGCCCCTTTTTTTTACTAATATCATTCTTTAGAATTAGTCGACATAACACCCAATTTCTGTCTTCTTTCTATGATTTGAGATATCTTTCAACAAAATCCTTTATTCTATTTCTATTTTCTTTTGCCTCTTTATGATTCTAATTTCTTTTTTTTTTCCTTTCAATTACCATTTTCTCTCTTTCTTTCTTACTAAAATTCTTATCTTTTCTTTTTTATTCCTCATCTCAAATCATATTTCTAAAATTACTTTAAACCCTTAAAAAAATTCTCTTTAACCTCCATCTTAATTTACTTCTATGATTTGACTTTGTTTCTCTATAACTTTTTTGTTTCTTCTCCTTCTCTAACCGTTCCTCATTCTAGCCATCGTCTCAGCCATCTAAAAAATGTTCTTTGCCACAGCATCCCATTTTGTGGCTTAAGAACCCAATGATTTTCATCTGGAAAATATAATAACTCTGCTGCAACTCCTTGCATTCTTGCCCCATTGAATGCTGCAATCCCTTGACTCACTACCACTCGATAATCTTTTTCACTATGAATACACAAAATAGGTGTATCCCACTTTTCAACAAATCGGTGTGGTGAATTTTCATAACTTTTTTTACTTTTTTCTTTTCCCTCCCACACTGCACTTCCCATATCCCATTGTGAAAACCACATTTCTTCTGTTTCTATATATTGTTCCTCTGTATTAAATATCCCATCATGTGCAATAAATACTTTAAATCGTTTCTGATAATGTCTATCAAACTAGCTATTTAAACATAATAATTTCTAAGGTTTTTTTGAACGAAAAGTTATTTACTATTTTTAAAATTATTCAAAAATAAGGATCTAATAATTTTACAATAAATATATGTATAGAAACAACCTTTTTTTTCTTATTGTTGTTAATTTTAGCTTTGCTATCAATTTTGATCAATGGAAAATCAAATATAACATAAAGTATTCAGGAAGTGAGTTGTTAAGAAGAAGAGCAGTATTTCTTCAAAACTCAAAATTAATTCAAATGATAAATAATCAAAACCTTTCATTTACTGTCACTAATGAAGGTCCTTTCAGTGTATTAACAAATGAAGAATATAAAATGCTTCATCATCGCATTGATATAGAAAAGGAGATAAAACAATTAAAATCTCATAAAATGAATTTCCTTAAAAATATTGACAATAAAGAAGTTCTTGATAGTATTGATTGGAGAAGTGAAGGAAAAGTAACTCCAGTAAAAAATCAAAGAAAGTGTGCTTCATGCTATGCTTTTGGAAGTGTTGCAACAATAGAATCATTGATAATGCAAGAAACTCATATTAAAGAAATTGATTTATCTGAACAACAAATAGTAGATTGTAGTCAAGGAGAATATTCTAATTGGGGCTGTACTTGTGGAAATGTAGGAAATAGTTTTAATTATATAAGAGATCATGGGGTTCTTCTTGAGAGAGATTATCCTTATACTGGCAAAGCAAACAATTGTTCTATTGATGGTAAAAAACCAGTGATAAAAATAAAGGATTATTCTTTTGTTTTTCCACAAACAGAAGAAAATTTAAAAATTGCAGTATATCATCAACCTGTAGCTGTCTCTATTGATTCCTCACAACCAAGTTTTCAATTTTATGAAGGAGGAATATATGATGAACCAAATTGCAAATGGGTAGATCATATTGTGACAGTTGTTGGATATGGAACGACAGAAGAACATCAAGATTTCTGGATTGTTAAAAATTCATATGGAAATGAATGGGGGTTAAATGGATATATTTATATGTCACGAAATAAAAACAATCAATGTGGAATAGCAACAATAGCAGTATATCCAAAAGGACTAATTATTCTTTAATAAATTAAATTAATAAATAAGAAAAAAAATTTATTTAAAAAGAAGTTTAATTGAAAACATGTTTTGCAAGTTATTATTTACTTGTATTGTTGCATAAAAGAATTATGGAAAACTTGGATTCTTTTTCCAACTTCTTCAATCTCATTCTCTGGTGGTAACAAAGCAATTCTAAAATGATAAGTACCTTTTCTCTGACCAAATCCAGATCCTTTAACAACAGCAATACCAGTCTTTTTTAACATTTCAATACAGTAAGTTTCATTTGGATCTTCATGTCTTTCATGACATTCTTGTATGAATTTTTCTGGTAATGTAATTCTTGGGAAAAGATACATAGCACCAGCAGCTCTATTACAAGACATACCATCACATTTATTGAAGATATCACACAAATATTCTGCCTTACGTTTTAAAGAACCAAGAATTGCATCTCTTTCTTGTTTAAATAACGGATATGATGGATCTCCTTCTTTTGGAAGATTACAAATTATAGACATTACAACTTGTCCTACTACATTAGAACACAGAGTAGTAGAAATAATTTTATACATCATTAAACGAGCAAATTCTGGAATATTGGTACATGCAAACATTCCTCCTCTCTTACCACACTCTCCATAAAATCCTTTTGAAATTGAGTGGAAAGAAATTAATTCAAGTCCATGTGCAATTTCTGGTTCCATTGTAGCAAGAACTTTTCTAAATGAGTTGAATGGAATATCGGTCCAAATATTTTCTTGATATACTTCATCAGCCATTAAACAAATCTTCTTTTCATTACAGAATTTAATAATTTCTTTTATAGTATCAATTGGTAAAACTTCCCCACATGGATTTCCTGGATTAATAACAACTAAAGCCTTAATTTTAATTCCTTGATTTTGATATTTCTCATATTGTTCCTTAATATCATTAATGTCTGGTAACCAATAATTATCTTCATTTAAATTATAATGACATGTTTTTCCACCTAACTGTTGAATACAAGCACCATACAATGGATATTGTGGATTTGGAATCATAATACCATGAAGTGGATGTGAAATCATTAGTTGCATAACAATCTTAATAGCAATAGAAGCACCATCAGTTAAATAAATATCTTCTGGGGACATTGGAACGTTATCTCTTTCTTCTAAGAAATGTGCAATTGTTTGTCTAACATAAGCAAGACCTTTAGATGGTGAATAAGCACCAGTTGTTCCATCACAACCAGTGGCTTTAATAATTTCTTTAGCACGAGCAACAGCATCAGCATGGAAAAGTTCTGGATGTTCTGTAAGAGCAGGATATTCGACCATAGAAGTAATTTCTCTAATAAAAGTTAATGGCTTTTGATTTAATAATTGAGGATTACCACTATTACATTTAACAACTTTTTCAAATGGATAAGGATTTGGTTTACCTTCTGCTTTTGCTTTTTTGATAGCACTATCAATTTCTTCTGAAATAATAGCAATTTTACCACGGACAGCAAACTGGAATGCAACTACATCTGGACTAATATTTTCACTAGCAAATGACCTCATTTAATTAATTTGAATTGGTTTATTAGTTTAACTCTTCTTTAAAAACAGCAGAAATTAAGTATCAAAAGATTTTATTCAGAAGCTAAAGGTTCGAAGGTCCAAACTATTCTTCTTTTCTTCTAATAAATTCTCTTTTTTTCTCATTTTTGTAAATCTATTGAAAAGTATTTTTAAACTTAAAAATTATATTAATGACTCACATAACTATTAAACAATAACTTTTTATCCATATTCTATAATTTATTCTTTTTTGGTAAAAGATGCTTTAGTTTCAGTATAAAACCCTGATTTGACAGAAGGCTGTGGATAATGGTCGATTGAAGTAGAAGATATATAAACTGAGTAATTTTGTTTAATTAGTTTTATTTTATTGAACTACTAGTGATTTTCAACGCACTTTTTCTTGATTTTCTTTTTTCATTAAGATAATTGAAACTACATTTAATAATTTTTTGGACTTCAAGAAAAAATGGTTGAACTTCCAATTTATTAAAAATGTTATATAAACCAAATTAAATTTATGAAGTTGAATGAACAATCAGCTTAATCAAACGTTCTGCTTTAGAATTAATTGAAGTGTTTGGTAACTTTGAAAATGAGAAAAGGTTTATTGTTATTTTTGATATTTCTTCGTGTGTGTATTGATTCATATCAAAAGAATCCAATAAACTATTTAATTGGTTTAAAGATTCTTGTTCTATTTCTGATATTTTTGAAGTTGAATATCTAGAAAAAGAGAGTGAATGAATAAATAAAATATATGTTTCTTCTTTTCCACTAGAAAAATGGAATTGCTTAATATAGTTAATAACTTCTTGAGTAGTGTATGATGCAGTAACAAATGGATCTGCTAAAGTCTTCATTTTTGGAACTTTTTGAATAAAAAAGCTATCAAATATTGAAAGAAATTCAATAGTATTTCTTTCAAACTCTTTTTCTACTTTTATCCCAGCCTGAGTATCGCTCATTGTTTTAACAACTTCAAATCTTTTATCAACAACATGTCTTAGATAAACACTTTTTTGGTAATCAAGAAGAGTTATTTTTCTATTTTTTTGAATGATATTAAGAACCATTTTATTTGTTACTCCAACAATAAAACTTTTTTCACTGTGAATCAAAGGATCATTAATCGTAAAGTATGGCCGAATTTCTCCAGAATATTTCAATGGGAAAATTAATCCAACAAGGTATTCAATTGCTTCACTCACTTCACAGACATCATCTCCTAATACAACGATAGAATCACCTACTAATAACGAAATCCATAATGACCTTAACTCTCGTAAGTAGTTTCTTAATAATGATGGAAAAGGTTTTTTCCCTGAAATAGTTACATCAAATCGTTTACCAAATAATTTTAAAGAAACTGATTTACCTGGACAGTATTTTGGAAATGAGTTAAATTTCATTTCTAGGACTTGAAGAAAAGATGTTACATCAGAAATATTTTCTTTAAATGTTGGGATAAGTTGATATAACAAAGTATGATATGGTAATATTTCTTTATTTTTAGTAATTAGTATTAACGATCTTTGGGTTGATTCTCTTGATTTAATGTGAGGTATCTGGATGAATAAAACATGACAGTATATTGATGAATGAATTAATGGAAATCTAAATGTAAAAATTTTATATTTAGTTTCAATTATTTCATTCACTTGTATTCGATCAGGAAATCCAAGAAATATTCTAATCATTAGACCTTTTTTATTTCTTTTAATAAAACAAACACTTGTGAAGTGAAATATTCACCATATAATACTGTAATGTTTGATGGGTTTTGTGCAATTATCTCTATTTTTATTACTTCTGTTATTGTCAAATTTTGAATAAATCAAAAATTTGACAAACTTCCTCCAATATCCTTATCAAATGACACAACTAAACTTGCTTCACACCAACTTATTGGTTGTTCATTTTCTTCTGTCATTTGCAATTGTTGTTTTGCAAGTTTTAATTTATTAAATTTTTGAAAGACGAAAAAAATGTTATATTGTTTTTCAAAATAACAGAATAAGTTATAAATGTTATTTAAAACAAAAAATAGAGGACATACTAATATCCAAAAATTTAAAAATAATTTGAATTAATACCTCATAGAAAATCGAACTAATGAAAATTTAAAAATCTACTTGTCAAAGGAAACTTAGAATTAAGATAATTAAATGTCAATGTCTAGAGTTGAATTTGAAGAGAAGTGCTCTGCAGAAGGTAAAATTTGTTGTTTTAAATTACCTGAATTAGCTGAAGAAGCAAAAATACTAAATGATAAGATGTTTGATTTTAATAACGAAAGAGATTTCACTAAAAGACAAGAAATTATCAAAACTATTGTTAAAAGTATTGGTGAAAATAGTGTTGTTTTTCCACCATTCAGGTGTTCAAAAGGAAGATTTATAACAATTGGTAATAATACTGTTATTAATATCAACTGTTATATTATTGATGGAATTCCAATAACCATAGGCAATAATGTTATGATTGCTGCAAATGTTAGTATTCTTGGAGGAACTCATTCAACTGATCCAGTAATAAGAAATTATGGTACAGTTTACAGAAGACCTATTACTATTGAAGATGGTGCATGGATTGGATGTGGAGCAAAGATCTTACCTGGAGTAAGAATAGGTAAAAATGCTGTAGTTGGAGCAGGTAGTGTTGTTACTCATGACATTCCAGATAATATGGTTGCTGTAGGAAATCCTGCAAGGGTAAAAAGAAGAGTTTCAGAGCACCCAGGATGGACAATAGAAAATAGAGATGTACCTTTAGATTAAAATTTATTGCTTCTTTTTTTTGAATAAAAAAATTAAAGGTTTTATGATGATTTATTTTTTGTAATAAATTTTAGTTTTAAAATCAAATTAAGAGAAGTGATCAATTACTCTTTTTAAAATTGATGCCTTAGCTGCAATTACTTCTGGATCATATGTAGCAACAGGTTTAAATAACAATTCTCCTAATGTTTCAGTAAAAGTTTCTATTTGAGCTTGTTGGTGATTGAATAAGTCAGTAATTTTACCCTCTTCAGAAGAATAAAAAGAATAAACATAAGAGAATTTCAACCAACATCGTGCTAAAATCAAAATATCAAATGCCTCTTCTATTCTAGTAATAATTCTTGACTGATTTTTAAAGTGTTCATAAACTTCTCCCATTGTTTTTTTCTTTTGTTCTCTTGTTTGTCTGTGAAGAGAGTTATGACTCATCCAACGGTCAAAGTAATGATTATATTTCTCATAGAAAGTTTTTTTAGATTTAGCTTTATTATCTAATTCATTTCCAAGACTTTTACCAGCATTATAAATATTACATGAATAAAACCCTCCAGTCTTTTCACCATGGGTTTTCCAATCTCCTCTACACATCCAACACCATTCTCCATGACACTTAGGACATGTCATATGATTACATCCTTGTGTTCTTTCACATAACAGTCCACAATGGCAACACGCTTTTGCAGTCAATAACAAATATGAATTTTCATCATCTTTAGTTGATAATTCATTCCAATCAGATACTTGTTTACATGTTGCAGGTGCGTGGTACTCTCCAAGGCATTTAAAACAAAACCGTTGTCCACATAAACAAAAAATATTATCACTTGCTCTTTCTGATGACAACACGATTATAGCCCTTCCACATTGTGGGTTTGGGCAAAAAACATTTCCTTGTAATTCAACGTATTCTTTTTTTAAAAAGTACCAGAACCTATCAGCAAAATCAGCAGATATTTTTTTTACTAATTCATAATGTATTTTACAATGACATCCCTGACACATACATAAAGAATCAATGAAATTTGGTCCTCGTTTCATAGCTTCTTCAATATATTCTCTCCAACAATTCTTACAGTAATAATGCCCACAACTAAGACCAACTACTTCAGTTACTTCATCATAACAAACATCACATAGCATTTTTCCTTTAGGTGGATCTCTTTCTGGCATTTTAGTCCCAGATAATGCTAAGTACTTATCAGGATCATCAAAATAAACATCATTCATTTTATTGACATTCCATTTAAAGTGTCTCAATAATAAACTGCAATCACCCTCTCCAAGACAAGTGAAATCACAAACATCTCCCAACAATTTTTGCATTTCTTGATCAATTTTGCAACTTTCTTTAATCTCAAATGGTTTTATTTGAGATTCAGCCTCCTCAAAATCAGTACTTGCAGACAACATTAATTAAATAATTTTAGTTTTCTGCTTTTATTTCTTTGGTGTTTCAGTATTTTTCCATTTCCTTTTATTAGTTCTTTGATATATTTCATTAGTTGATAAATTATTATTATATCAATGCTTATCTTCTAATAAAAAATAGTATTTATCAACCATATTTTTTTGAGTCTTATTTTTTTTAGATGATATTTTTCTTTTTTCAATTAAATAAATTATTTCATTTCTATAAAATACTCATGTTTATTTTCTTATCTTTAAAGGTGAAAAACTTAAATTCAAATAACTTATAATTAAATTTAATTATCAAGATAGCCAAGTTCTTTAATATAAGCGTATTGCTCGGGAATTTCGTTCATGGCTGCACATGCAAAAGCAACTTCAGGATTTTCTACGTTTCCTTCACAGACTTTGTAATAATTAACAAAGTTAAAGTTATCAAATTTAGCTTTTTTCACATTGTCATCAAAATTCTCCATTTCACCAAATGGTCCATCTCCAACACCAACACAAACAATAGAGAGTGGATAATTTGACGCTTCTTCGATTACTTTTCTGTTGGGACTAACACTACTGACTTGTCCATCACAAATGATAACAAGAATATGATATTGTTTTGTCTCTTTAACAATTTTAATTGCTCTTTTAATTAATGGAACAAATGAAGTTGGTCCACATAAATCAACACTTGAAGCAACAACCTTATACCGTTCAATGGCAGCGGCCATTCCCAAAAATGGTTTAGACTCTGGACTTAAGTCAAACACTGTGTCGTCCTGGGTTTTAGAATCACCAAACCCAAATACAGGAATGAGTCTATCGTCATCAAATTTTTCCATTGTCTTTCCCATAATTTCCATTACTTTAATATATGGATTTGGATTTGACTCATCAATGGTATGCATATTCTTTCCATATGTTCTCATTCCAGAACTTGTATTAGAGGCAGTGAAATCAATACCAACTATAAGGTTTGAAGATTCAAGACCAGCCTTTTGTAAAGCATCTTGAAGGTCTTCAACACTTTCATACGTAGTCATAATTGGTTGTGTTATTCTCTTGCGTTGAACTTTACTTCCTTCGTTTCCCATGTGAATGATTATTGAGATAAACTGTCTCTCTGAACCTCTTAAACATCTCCTTTTTTCAAGTAAAAATTTAGGTTGAAGATTTTTTATGATAAATCAAAGCTTTAAAGATTCCTCATCCATCAAAGTTATATTTTTTTATAGAAAAGTGTCTCTTTTCATTTTTATTTGAATCTTTTTTAAGAAGAAAAAAGTGTTAAATAATAAATTCATCACCAAAAAAGAGCCAAAAGATGATTACTAATTGGTTAATCACCAAGATTTCTCTCGAATAATAACATATAAATAATCTTCTTCCATACCAATCCATTAGTTTCCTTTTTAAACACATCAGTAATTATTTCGTCATTCCACTCTTTATCAAACTCACTTTCGTTACACCCACTTCGTGCTTTTGATAAAATTGGAACAAATTGTGATGCAGCATCAATCACTGCATCATCCGGCATTTGGTAAAAATCAATAATATTTTGAATCATTTTAAGTAACGTCTTTAAATAAGAAACAAAATCATCAAAAGACTCAACTGGAGTTCCAATACAAATTTTAATGAATTGAGATTCTTCTATAACTACAATTTCATTTCCTTCATTTAGTCTTGAATTAATAATACACTGCCATACACATTTATAGAACGAAATATCACCTTTAACTTTCTTTAAAATAATACTATTTTCATTAACATTAACTGCTTCTTTAATTTTATTTTCTAATTCTTCTTTTTCTTGATTTTGTAATTCATTATAAACTACTTCAGCAATTTTTAATGTTTTCTTTTTTTCTTTTAATTCGGTTATCACTTTTTTTCTTTCTTCACTTGTTTTTAAGCTAAGACATCTTTTAAAATAATTGATGTTTTTAATAACGTCATTCACAACAGTTAATTCTTGTTCAGTATTAGAAGGACATTCAAAATCTGAAATTTCTTTTTTCCATTTATCTATTTCTTCTTTAGTAGCAATTGTGTTTAATTTTTCTTCTATTTCTTGTTCCTTTTCGGTTTTATCACTAACCTCCTTCTCTAATTCTAAAATCATTCCTTTAATTTCTTTTAATGCATTTTCTCTTTTTTCATGTTCTGAGGGTTCAAAGCTTACTCCTTCAAAAATGGACATAGAACTGAATATTTAGTTACTATTTGAAAAAATGAGAGACGTTGTTCTCTTCTTATTTTTCTTCTCTGTTTTTGCTAGCGATTTGATTGATCTATACAATAGCGTATATCAAGCTTTTGAAGTTTGTTATTTTACCATTAATTTATGCGTTATTGAATTAAAGAAAAACTGTTCTATTCATACCAGAAAAAGCCTCAGTATTAGTAAGTATAAAATAAACATTCAATTTATTATTTAAATGAAACAGAATTAATCTTTCTAGAATAAAGCTAATGCTCCAACAAACTGTCTTCATTTATATGGTCAATACCCATTAAATACTAATTACTCACAATCATCAACTGATTATTGTTATAGTTGTAAAACAAATATATTTGATGTGGTCACATTAAATTATGACTCCAACACCGGTCTTTCCTCTCAAGTACGTGCTGATGCTGTATGGTTATCAAATGTACAATTACCAAAAACAAAAGATACAAATTATTTTGTCTCAACACCGTCTGCATTTCTTCAATACCCAACAATAGAAAAACCATTCATTGATCCTCCTTATCTTGTTCCATTAAATGTTGTTGTTTTATATGATATTTCATCATCAAATTCTCGACCTTCAACATTATTTAGCTTTTTTAAAAGATTTACTTCAATGCAGTATCTTTATTTCTTAACATTCAATCACAACCCCCAAAATGTTCTTCATCGTGGGAATTGCACTACTGATTCTATTAATCAACTAATGTATTCACTTTGTAAAATTTCATATGGAGGTGGAACAAGATATAGAGATGCCTTCAACAAAATGATTGATGACATCAAGCAAGACATATTTGATAAGACACAAACTATCGATATCTTTCTTGTTTCAGATGGAAACGAAATTCAGAACAGAAAGTTATTGAGAAAATCATTGGACCGATTAAATGAATATAAGATTTCTGTCCATACTATTGATACTGGTGATGGAACATGGAAAGACAAATTATTTGAAATATCCTGTGAACAAAATGGATATTATATAAATTCAAACCAACAAGGAATTGACACTTTATTTAATGCCCTTTGGCTTAGGTCGTTTATTAAAAATAATCAGAGAATTATTAATGGCCGTGCTTATTCAGGTCTTAACTCAACAAAAGCAATCTTAAAAGAACTAATTTGGGAGTACGATGACGTTATATTCCCTACAAGAAGTTTTGGTGTGGTTGGTGTTATTGTTGATCAAAATACAAATATAGCAGATGAAGAAAAATATATCACAGAACCAAAAGTTACAGTTAGGGATTTGGATATACAAAAATATGTTTTAAGAAGTTATACAGGTGGTTTATGTGGAAATGAAATAACACCAACAACAGAAGAAATGAATGCTATTAAATTAACATTGAGGTCTATTGACAATTGGTATACAAGTTCATCAGAAACGACAGATGTTATTTGTAAAGATTTTAATCCAAAGATAATTGGAAGTTGTGATGATAATGGAACGTGTGTAAAAATAAATCCATCAAATTATTACCTTAAAGAAAAATGCTCTTCCAAGCCACTTCTTAAATTTATTCTCTGTGTCTTTTTGCTCATAATAACCATTTAATCCAATCAAATTTATTATTTTGGTTTTGTTTTAAGTGTTTTTATATTCTAAAAATATAATAAATTAATAAAAGAACTATTAAGAAATATCATAAAAATTATTTAAAAAAATAGTATTTTGAATCTTGAACTCAAAGATATAAAAACAAGTGGATTCTTTGAGAGGACCAAGAAAAAGAAAAAAAAATAAAAATAAGAAACAATAAAAAATCAAAAAGGAGAATATACAAATAGAAAAATATAGTTCCCAAAAACTAATGAAGATGAAAAAGTGCAAATGAAGTATAAGAGAGAACTGGAGAACCAAAAATGGGTTGGGTTATGTTAAAAATCAGAACTTAAAAATGGTTTAAATTCAAATAGAGAATTTATATGAGAGAAGTAACAATTAAAAATAGAGATGAAAAAGGAGAGTATTCTGGTATTGGGCTAAGGAAACCAGTCAAAACTGAAAGTAATTATAAGAAAAAAGTCATTATTGAAAAGGCAGTTATAGTTTTAATAATGAATGCGTTACTAGAATATGAAGAAAACCAAGAGAAGGAAACTGTTTGCCCAAGTTCACCAAAATCATATTGTGGTGATCAATTTGATGATTTGTATGATCACTGCTATCAATGTGTCAAAACATTTTTTGAAGTAACAAAATCATGTCATAACCTTCAAGAAGTATATCCTTATATTTATAGTCTTGTAAGGACTTATAAAAATTCGTTTTAATACATTAGGTTCTTCTCGTACATGTCCTTTTTAAGGAAATAAAGTTAGTTTCTAATTTATTTGTTTGTACTTGAAAGAGTAGTATATTCTTTTACTTTTGTCATTGAAAAGCTTGAAAAAAAATATTTAAAAGAATAATAAACAAAAACTAAAAAGGGATAATAATTAAAATAGTTTTTAGAAAGAAAAAGAAGAAGGAAAAATGAAAGGGGAAGGAGTGCGTAAGTTCTACCAAAGAAAATGAACTATGTTCCGATGAAGCAGAAGAGAAAAGTAGAAAGAAGCAAAAGAGTTAAAATAGAAAAAAGGAAGAAAAATAATATAATAAACAAAATAAGAAGAAAGCGAAAAAAAAAGAGATTAAAAAGAACCCTAAGAACTTTAAAAAAGAACTTATTAAAAAGTAAGTTTCAATGCAAAAATCCTCATCAAGTGAAGGAGTTTCTCATGTTAGAAGATCTATTTCATTAAACAAGTTAAAGAATCAATTTGCTGATGCTGCTGAAGCAGAACATTTTACTAATGAATCTGACTCTGAAAAATATAATAATTTGTGGGACTATTGTTCTTTATATTTATCTAAAGATGTTGAGACTATTAAACAACAAATTGCTAATCATATTGAATATACATTAGCATGTCAACGATTTGATTTTAAAACAAAATCACTCTTTACAGCAACTGCTATTTCTTTAAGAGAGAGAATGACTGAATACTGGAATGATACACATCAATATTTTAGAGAAATTCAAACAAAAAGAATGTATTATCTTTCAATTGAATATCTTATAGGTCGTTCGTTAATGAATGCTATTTGTAATCTTGGATTAGAAAATGAATATAGAGATGTTGTTTCACAATTTGGTTCATCTCTTGAAGAATTGTATGAATACGAAAATGATGCTGCACTTGGATCAGGAGGACTTGGACGACTTGCAGCATGTTTCCTTGATTCACTTGCTACAATGAATCTTCCAGCATGGGGATATGGTATTAGATATCAATATGGTATGTTTAAACAACAAATTTCACATGGATATCAAATTGAAACACCAGAATATTGGCTTGAAGCAGGAAATCCATGGGAAATTGTTAGAAAAGATGTTAATCATGAAGTAAGATTTGGTGGATATGTTACAGTAGATAAAACAACAGGAAGAATGAAATGGGAAGGAGGAAATACTGTTAGAGCTATTGCATATGATATGCCAATACCAGGTTATAAGACATTAAATACATTAAATTTAAGACTTTGGAGTTCAAAACCATCTAACCAATTTGATTTAGAACATTTTAATAAAGAAGAAGATATTGATTATTGGCAAAAAGTACATAATCAACAAAAAGATGAAAATATATGTAAAGTACTTTATCCAAATTCATCACATTATAAAGGACAAGAATTACGATTGAAACAACAATTTTTCTTCACTAGTGCATCATTACAAGATATAGTTAGAAGATTTAAAAAGATGAGAATTGCTATAAATGAATTCCCACAATATGTTGCAATTCAATTAAATGATACTCACCCTACTGTTGGAGTATTAGAATTAATGAGAATTCTTCTTGATATTGAAGGACTTGAATGGAACCAAGCATGGGAAATTGTTGTCCAAACATTTGCATATACAAATCATACTGTATTACCAGAAGCACTTGAAACATGGCCAGTTCCAATGTTTGAGAACTTATTACCAAGACATCTTCAAATTTGTTATGAAATTAATAGTAGATTCTTATCATGGGTTAAGACTGCACATAATTGTACTGATCAAGAAATTGCAGCCCTTTCTATTATTGAAGAAAGTAATCCAAAGAGAATTAGAATGGCTAATCTTGCTATTATTGGATCACATACAGTTAATGGTGTTGCTGCTATTCATTCACAAATTATTAAAGATGTTATCTTTAGACAATTCTCTAAAATTTGGCCACATAAATTTATTAATGTTACTAATGGAGTTACACCAAGAAGATGGATGTTACAATGCAATCCAGGATTAAGCAAATTGATAACAGAAACACTTAAGTCAGATGAATGGGTTGTTGAACTTTCATTACTTGAGGGATTAAGACCACTTTGTGATCATTCTTTAGAAGAAAAATTTAGAGCAGTTAAAACACAAAATAAAGAACGATTAATTAGATTAGTATCAAAAATCACTGATGGGGAAATTGTATTGAACTCATCTTATTTATTTGATGTTATGATTAAAAGAATTCACGAATATAAGAGACAAAGTCTTGCTATTTTAGGTACTATTGCACAATATTTAGCACTTAAGAAAATGACACCAGAAGAAAGAGCACAACAAGTTCCAAGAGTTAAAATTTTTGCAGGAAAAGCTGCTACATCATATGAAAATGCTAAGATTATTATTAAATTAATTAACTCAGTTGCTGATATAGTTAATAACGATAAAACTATAGACAATATGTTAAAGATTGTTTTTATTCCAAATTATAGCGTTTCACTTGCAGAAGTTATTATTCCAGCAAATGATATTAATGAACAAATCTCAACTGCTGGATATGAAGCATCAGGAACATCATGTATGAAATTCTGTATGAATGGAGGACTTATTATTGGTACATGGGATGGTGCAAATGTCGAAATTGCAGAAGAAATTGGTGAAGAAAATATGTTTATGTTTGGAGCTAAGAAAAATGAAGTTGAATTAATTAGACAACAAGGAACAAGTTGTATTGATGAAAGACTTTATGACGTTTTAAAAGCCATTTCTGGAGGTATGTTTGGTGCTGCTGATTGGTTTAATAAATTAATTGGACAATTCTGGGGAGGTAATGATTATTACTTAGTTGCACATGACTTTGCTTCATATCTTGAAGCACAAATGAAAGTTGATGCTACTTGGAAAAAACCACAAGAATGGAATCATAAATGTGTTATGTGTGTATCTAAGATGGGCAAATTCTCATCTGATAGATCTATGAAAGAATATGCAGCTAATGTATGGAACATTCATCCATGTCCATTACCAGAGACTGACATGAATGATATGATGGATATTGCAAAGAAACAATTATTACCAGAAAAGAAATAAATAATGATTTCTTTATATAAAAGAATAAGTTTTAATTTTTAAATTTAATGAAAAAAACCAAAAAAAATCAAATTACAAAATTAAAACCACTTATATATTTTAAAGAAGATTACACCAACAATCATCCATACTAAGCACAATGAAAGAATTACAAAAAACCATACTAAACTTGGATTATCTTGTCCAGGCACAGTTACATTCATTCCAAATAAAGCTGCTATAAAAGACATTGGTAAAAATAATGTTGCTATTGCACCAAATTTCTTCATTAATAAGTTCTCTTCTTCACTATAACGATTTACACTTAATGAAATTTTTGCTAAATAAGTTTCTTGATGATTTTCTATTGAGTGAGTTAATGAAGACAACTTTTCTAATAACCTTACAGTATCATCAAGAATATCTCTCAAATAAATTTTTAAATTCTTTGACACCATATTCGATTTAGATTTTAAAATAAATCTAAGGAATGACTTCTTTGGAGAAACTAAAAATTGTAATAAACTTGCTCTCTTTTTTAAATCACCAATTCTACCAAGAAATTCATCTTGGTCATCTCTTAATAATACTAATGATAGTTGTTCAATATTATAAACATCTGAATATAGTCTTTCATTTAGCAAGTTAAAATTAGAAATAATTAATTCTAATATAGCATATAATACCCAATGAGCACTTGGAAATGTTCCTTTATATTTATCTTTGATTTTTATACGAACATCATTAACAGCTGCAATTGCTTCTGAATGAACGGTTATAATAACATTCTTTTTAATGACGATATTAAGAAGATATGTATTCAATATATTTGTATTTTCCATATACCTCATTTCTACAACTGATATTTCAAAATAGTTTTCAAAAAATGCTGCTTTCTCTCGAGTATCTGGTGTAAACCAATCGTCTATAGTTAAAGGGTGTAATCCAAATACTTCTTCTAATGCATTTGCACATTCATCTGTTGGTGGAGATACGTCAAGCCATAAAGGAATTTTTTCTAAACGTTGTCCTGATGAAAGAATTCGTTCTTTCATATCAAATAACTCTTTTGTTGTAATAATTTTTCCTGATGGAAATTGTTGCCCAAATGCTATCATTGTTGAATTATACATTTGTCCATGATCATCATGGTCCAATGGAATTTCTTGGACATCTTCTTGTTCTTTTGGTTCATTTCCCCAATCACTTTGTAAAATTCCATCATCTACATCTTCTTCTTGTTCGGTTTCAACAAAGTCAATATCTTTTTCATTTTCTGTCTCTTGTTCACTAGCAGAGAACAATGAAGGTGACTGAGGTTGAGGTGAAGTAATTTTATTGAGAACACGCCTTCTTGGAGGATTTTGTGACATTTCACTTAACAAACCGTTTTCTTTTTATTAGTTTTTCTATAAAATTTTTCCTACCCAAAGTTATAAAAAAACATTAAATTATCCTTTTATTACTTCTGTACAAAACTGTTTTTATTAATTTATCCCTACTATAATAATTGTTAAATTATCACACCCCACTAAACTATTAGGCACTTTACTAACACAATCAGACAAAATAGATTCAGAAATCTGTTGGTATGTGTATCGTTGGTGTAAATAATATAACACTTTCCTTACACACTCTTCATTTGTTAATACATCCCATACACCGTCACATGCCAAAATCAATAGTTGTGGAGATTTGTCATATAATTGTATGGATATGTCTGGAAAGCATGTAACGATTTGATTTTTAAATGAAAGTTGAGGTTGGTTCTTAAACATTAAATCACCTATGCTCCGGGTTAAATTAAGATTTCCATTCACTCTTTCATTTAAAACAAAACCACCAGCTTGAGTTATCCTACTTAATTCTTTTGGTAGAGTTGGTTTATGGTTAGTACTTAATGGAAAAATAGTATCATTTTTAAATAATATACATCTACTATCCCCTACATTACTACAATAAATAGTGTTGTTTATGATTAACACAACTATAGCAGTACACCCAATTCCATTAGCAACAAGATGACCATATAGTCCGATATTAATTTTGGATTCTATACAACCAAGATTTTTTAATTCGATGTTCGTAGTTTCATCTCTTAGCTGAGTGTCTATTAAGTAGTTTGTTTCGATTAATGCATTTTGATAATTTTTTTCTTTGAATGATTGTGTTGACAACATAATCTCTAAATAATGAATCCTACAATACTCTGCAACTTGGTCACCTCCGTGTCCATCAAAAATAGCAAATAAAGAAAGAGGTCCATTTTGTGACATGTGTTGTATTTCAATTATGTGTGAATCTTCCATCGTTTTTCTCCATCCTTGCATTGAGCTAAACCCACAACAAATATTTGAGTAAAATAATTGTCCTGAGTGTTGTTGGGTAATAGGACTTTCAAGGAATCCCATCATTTGTTGAGCTGCTTTAGCCTTACGGAGTTTATTTCTTAAAACCATCATAGTTTAAAGATTTTAGTTAAAACATATCATAAAATTTATTATGTGAGATTTTCTTTTTAAGATTTTCTTTTTAAGATTTTCTTTTTAAGATTTTCTTTTTAAATAACATAACTATAAAGATGTGTTATTCATATTATAGTGAAAAAAATAGTAAAATATATAATAAAAAGAATTATAAATATAAAATAATGAACCCTAAATATGGTTAAAAGAGAGAATTGAACTTAGAAAGAAGTCGAAGAGATGGTTTCCTTAAAGCTTCAAAAAAGACTTGCTGCTTCAGTTCTTAAATGTGGTAATAGAAAAGTCTGGTTAGACCCAAATGAAACACCAGAAATTTCACTTGCTAATAGCAGAAAGGCTATCAGAAAGTTGATTAAAGACAGATTAATTATTAAGAAACCAGCTGCTATGCATTCAAGAGCTAGAGTTGTTGAAAGAAAACAAGCTAAGATTCTTGGAAGACATACTGGACATGGTAAAAGAAAGGGAACAAAGAATGCTAGAACTCCACAAAAAACATTATGGATTATCAGAATGAGAGTTCTTAGAAGACTTCTTCTTAAATATAGAACTACTGGTAAAATTGATAAGCATATGTACCACGACTTCTATCTTAAAGTTAAGGGTAACCAATACAAAAATAAGAAGGCTCTTATGGAATCTATCTTCAAGGCCCTTGAAGAAAAGAAACTCCTTGCCAAGGCAAGTGTCCAAGTTACTAAGAAATCAACTTTCATTACTGAAAAGAAACCAGTTGTTGCCGAAGAACCAAAGAAAGTTGTAGAAAAGAAGGATGAAAAGAAAACTGAAAAGAAGTCAAAGGCTGGAAAGAAGAATGCTAAGAAATGAATTATCTAATTAATGATAATTATTTTTCATTTATTTTTTATTATTTTCTATAAACAATTTTACTTTTTAATAAAAATGAAATCGAATTATTATAATTTATTGCGAAGTAAGTTTTTATTGAGATTACAAATCATATAATTGTTTGGTGTATGTTTGTTGTGTTATGTCTTTCTTTTCTAACTTTTTCTTGTTTAGCTAATACTTGTTCTTATCTATGAAAGGCCTTATTTATTTATTCTTGATGTAAATCATTTTAATTTAAAAAAATACTTTCAATAAACTTGTTAATTTGTTGTAGTACAATACTTTTTTCTTCTAATGGACAATCCCTTATGAATTTACAGGTTCTGAATATTAATATTTTAAATTTAGATGAAAATAAAGAATTGAAAGTAGTTCTTCTATTTAACTTAATGTCAATAAACAATTTATTGAGTAAGGACTTTATTATTTATTTTTAAGAAAGTAGGTGTTAAACTTAATGATTTATACTTTTGTATAATTTGTGGGCAGGTGGCTAAATCTACAGATTGAATAGAAGAGGGGAATTGAATCGACATAAGTTTTATGCACATGTGTATTTTTAATGTTTTTATTGAAGGGCAATCACCGTCAACTGTTGTTAGTGTTGGAATTCCAATTAGTTCTAATCTTGTTAGTGTTGAAGGAACAGAAAGAGATACTAATTTATGAAAATTTTGAATATAGAGAGAATGTAATGGTAGTGTTTTTAAACAAGAAACATTACCATCACATTGTTTTAATGACAATGATTTAATACTGAAAGGTAATGATAATGGAATGACGCATTGTGATAACCTTAATTCAATAGGATGAACATTAAAATTTTCATTTATTGTTTCACTTATTCTATTTAATGGAATTTTGCCTTTGATTTCAAGCAATGTAATACTTGAAGGAATAAGCAAAGACAATTCTTTAATTTCACCTTTACTTTCTAATTCAAGTTGGGTTATATGAATGTAATTTCTTAAATCATTCTCACTAACTTCTTTATTTCTTTTTAAGGATAGTAATTTTTCATCAATTTTTTTTTGTTCCAATAACTTCTTTTTTTGTTTAACTTCATCACTGATATTTTCTATGCCCTCCTCCTCATTATTTTCTTCTTCATTTATAAAATAAAAGTCTTTTCGTTGGTGTTTGTTTTCTTTTTTTTTGTTGATGGTTTCACCCCACCAGGTTTTTTTCTCTTTATTTCTCTTTTTCTCCTTACTTCGTTCTTCTTCAAGACTAATAGTAATAGGATTATATTCATTTTTTTCAATAAACATTTCTTCTGGCATTAAGTGAATGTGTTGTGGATGTTTAATTTCTGGTTTTACCCAGAACTCACATTGTTTATCAAAAATCACTTCATTCCCTTTAACTTTATTTTCAAATATTACATTTGACTTGAATTTTGTTTCTCCACTAAGTATTGATAATGAAAGAAATTGAGCATCACCGTAGAAGATTGCTGATCCATTAAATATAACCTTTTCATTAAACTTAACACCTTTTTTGAAAATAACGTCATTATAAAATATAGCTTTTCTTTTGAATTCTACTGCACTATTGAATGTCGTATTGTTATAGAATTGACAATTGTATTCAAAGATTCCTTTTGTTTCTATTTGTTCTTCCGGTGTATCTTCCATTTTATATTCAATTCTTTTTGTAAAAGGAGAAAGTGCCATTGGGAAAATATGTCCTTTAATTCTTAGTGTCTCAACTGATAAATGAGTAAAGTCAGCATCAAATTCATTGTTTACTATTTCAACTTTGTTTATTAAGTATTTATAAATAATGTCAATAATAACAGAATTTTTTATCATTCCTGAAGAAACAGAAATCCCTTTTTTTATTTGTTCAGGTGTAAATAAGGCATTGTGTTGTGACATAATCAGAAGTTGGGCTGAATCCACATTACAGTCAATGGTCACTTGAAAGCATTTACTTTTTATTCCACTTAATTTAAATAACGATTCAAATGAATAACTATCAGTTATATTAGTCACATTAATTCTTCCTTTATAACACGTATAACTATCTTCAAAAACATTATTAAGGATATTAAGACAACTCTGGCTAATATCACAATCAAGAATTAACCGTCCAAATCCTTTTAATTTTTGAAGTGTTGTTTGAAGGGTTGGAAAATTTATAATAGGAGTGCGGAGTTCTTTTAAATTGTAGAAGTGGTTGAGTGTTGATGCAATTTGAGAGGACGTTGATAGTAAAGTGACACTATGCACAAACTCTCCTAATGATTTTATAGAACTAGAGTTAGTTATTTTTTCTGATGGAAAAATTGATAAATAAATTATTGGACGATGTTTGAATAATATTTTGGTTGCACTGAAGTCTTGTATTTCATTAAACGAACAATGTACAATTGGTTTAGTGACTTTTAGAAGAGAATCTTTAAATGAACATTTAAATTTTAATGAAGTGTTACAAATTGATTGTGTTGCTGATTGGCATCTCTTTGAAATAAAAGAAAAGTTCTCAAAGTCACAAAGAGTTGTTATATAATATGCAATTGAATATAAATTATTGTTAAACAACTTGGTCATCTAAAATTAATGTTTGATAAATATTTTTAGTTTTTTTTTTTGGGATAAGCATATTTTGAGATAGTAAATAATTTTAGATTTAATAGATTTTTTTATAAAATTTTATATGTTATATATAACATGATAATTTAAAAATTATCCTGATGTATCATTTAATATCTAAATAATCTTATAGAGATTCTTCAAACTAAACTAAAATATCTTCTTTTACTATTTCATATCAAAATTTAGAATTATAAAAATCAAGTCAAGAAATAATCATTAAAAATATTATATAGAACATATAAAAAGCGAATATGAGCTAATAAAATAAGGTGGTGGTGATTAGCAAGGTTAAAAAAATAAAATTAAGAGTAAAATATGATTGTTTTTACAGTTATTTAAATAAGTGATATGTTTTTTTTAAATTAGCCATAATATAAAACTGAAGATTTAATACAAACTATTATAACTAATTATATATAAAGCGTTGAATATTATTAAAAATAAACAACAAAATATATAGTTATTATAGACTTATAATACTTAAAACAAATTATTATTTTAGTAACTATAATAGTAGTAGTTTAAATATATTTAAGTACCTTTGTTGATTTAAAAAAATTATTACACATATATTTATGGGTTGCAATAACAATAAATGATTTAGAACATTATAGTATTTTTTTGATTGGATTTAATAAAATACTTCCAAAATATATCTAAAAAGTATTAATTATATTAATGATAGTTTTAGATGCTTGTTAATTATAAAACGATATAATTTCATGATACTATTTAACTTAAACGAACTAAAACTACAACAAACAACGACATTTATTATTACAAATAATTCGTGTAATCAAGAAAAATAAAAACAAGGTATTAAATTGATAAAAATAGAAAGAATATAACTTAATCAAAATCGATAAAAGAAATAAAATTTCATTTAAATTTTATTAGTAATAAATTCATTATAAAAATAATTTTAAATAATCAAAAAAACTCATACAGTAATACAGTAATGTAATATAATTTTTTAGTTTTATCAAGACGGAATCAAATCACAAAAAGGTTTTAAAATTATATTAAAGAAAACATATATTTAAAATTCATTCATTAATATTTGGTTGTATCAACATATAATAAACTTTTTTTTTCTCTTTTAATATAAATTTAGTATGTCTTAATCTATATTAGTTAATCATTGTGAATAAAATATTCTAAAGAAAGAATATAGGAATAATACTTAATTATTTTGTAGAAAACTATTCTGGTTGACATATTTAACGTTGATACTAATTACATTAGTTTATTGATGGAATAACTCATTTGTTATCTAATATCTATTTTATGAGACTCTCAAATCTTCTCTTAATTATAAACTAAACCTTGATCAATGATTCTTCAAAAAAAAAATAAAAGAAGTAATTGGGTTTAAACTTAAAATTAAAAACTTTGAGAATCACTTTATTCACCATCACTATAATATTGTATAAGAATATAGATTTCATTTTATCAGTAACACTAATGAATAATATTTAAATGAATAACACATTTAAAAAAGTTAAATGAAAAACAGAAAAAAATAACACTTATAACTTTATTAATTATATGATTTTTTAATATAATAATTTCATAAAACATGATTAATAGAGTAATAGAGAGTCTTTATAACATTCTGCGATGACTCTTACAACTAAGTATTTAAAAGAAAAAGACAATAACGAATGAATAAAATGAGATGTGTAATTAAAAATAAAAATAAGAAATTAACATTAATAAAACTAACATACAGAGTAGTAACTAATGGTATACTAATGTCTAAATAATTTTAATTACATAAGAATATGAACATATAAAAAAGTTCATGAATTAAAAAGAACAACTCTAATTAAAAAATAAAAGTTATAACAAAAAAAACATTATGAATGAATAAGAATAAAGAAGAGAAAATAGTTATAAATATAAAATAAATATAAAATGGTTTATTTATAAATTGTTCAGTTTTAATATTATTCTCATTATCTTTGGCTGAATATCCTTTCTGTAAAACATATCAAACAGATAATAACAAAATTCATTTTTGTTGTAATTGATTGAATTAATTTATGTCTGTTTTATTTATAACTCATATATGATTTTTGATGGTAACTAATTCTGATTTTTGAATCTTGTCAATAATTTAGAACAAAAATGTACAGTATGGTTATCCTTTCTCTATCAACAACAACCAAGAAATTTATTTTAGTAAAAGAATGAAAGTTTCAATTATGACTATTCTCTTTTAAATTTATTTATTCTTAAAATAACCTAAAAATATTCTTTTTTATTTCTCAAAAAAAGATTTAGAAATAATACAAAACTTGAATATCAGGAAACCAATTATTTGAGCCATATTTTTAAGGTCTCTGTATAAAAGAATAAGAAATTTTATTCTCTAAGTAACGTAAATGAATACATGAACTTATTAATGCACAGGTATTTAATGACACCAAAAAATAAAAGAAAACAAAAAAAGATATGTGTAACTGTACAATTTTTAAAAGATTATATAGAAAAAAAATAAAGAAGAGTTAAACCACTGGTTTTAGCAAAGATAATTTTCAATTTCTAAATATTTTTAAATAAAGATATTAGATAACCAAA